TAGAATCTCAACCTTCCTAAAAAATAGGAACTACCCTAACTAATGATAACTCTGAATCCTAGAAAAACTTATCTCTAATGATAAACCCTAATCTTCCGTTTTTATTCAAATACAAAAAATCCTAACTACCAAATCCTTATCTAATCGACACTAGATTATGCTAAGCATGTTGCATATAGATGGAGCTTAGTTGTTCATTTCGTAGTTTTAGTTCTATAGTCCTTTCTTTCACTTGTTTCTTTACTAATTCATTTACTTATAGTATGCATCAATGATATTCAAGAACTACTGACTCTAAATGTTTTCTTTCGATATGTTTGCAGATACGTAGTCGTATACTTCTCTATCTTGTATCTACGGTACCATGCTGGCATTGTTACAGATGAGATGCTTTCCATGCCAAAAGCTCCTTTTCTGGCAGTGGGCCTCTTAGAAGCTCTTGCGGCTGCAACTGGAATGGCAGCTGGAGGTAGCCATCTGATATTCTCATGCCTTTCCAATCTATTTCCTCACTGATCACATGATTATGATCGTAGTGGATTTCATGTTCCCAAAAATGATACAATGTGGTGCTATAAATAGTGACAAACAACTACTTTATTACATAGCTAGCCAACACACACTTTTCTTGCTGAAACTTATTCCTAGTTGTGAGTTTTACAATGCTCTTATGGATGGAGGACGGATTCTTTTTTCAAACTTTGTTCAAGTACTAGATGCATTGTTTGTTTTTTTCGTTTATATTTTAAAAGTATTTGAAGTGCATTTTTAATTGCTAGCCCATTCTTGTGTTAGGGTAAAAAAATAATCAAGTTGTACAATATGTTATTAGCGCTTTTTATGTATTTATTTATTTATTTTTCCTTTGTTTTCTTATGGTTTGGATAATGTATGAGTTTAGATTAATTGTTTATATCTTGTTTTCTGTCATCTCCCTTCAACCAGCAATTTTGTCTGGAGCATCAATTCCAATTTTGTCCCAGGTAAGCAGATTTCACTTATCATTTTTTTTTCTTGTTTACAAAGCTTGGATAATGGATATGAATTTGTATCCCGCTAGAATTAGTTATACTCTCTGAAAATTATACTTCTCTGTTTTGCATAAGCTAGTACCTTCTGGTTTGAACTTCTAAAAGCTGATCCAGTTGTATAATACTATTCTGAGAAATCAGGAAATGATATGACTGTCAAATCAATGAAACCACAGGTTAAGAACATTGATGCTATACCAGTACAATTAAATGGTATAGGTAGATGAAAGAACATAAATTTTCTCTTACTTCTAAGAAGAGTTGAAATCAACTTTTGATTAATAATTAAAGAAGTGCTGGAACCCAGTGTTCGCAGCACTCTGCTTGTGCAGTTAGTTTGTAAGGATGACTTTCTAGACAAGATCAGAATGAGGTAAAAAAGGACTGCCCATGTTGTTAAAAAAAGCAGTTAGGCATTAGTTTCTAACATCAAATCGGGACTAGGGAATATGGATTTTTTTCCCCTCCAATGGTGTGGGCTTTGACATCATTAGGCATCTCGCAATTTGGATTTGTTATTTTGAAGTTAGATAATTAATGGACAACTGTACTAATTTTGCAGACTTTTCTCGTTTGGCAAATTCTCCTGTCAGTTATTTTCCTTGGGAGAAGATATAGAGTAAATCAACTTTTAGGATGCTTTCTTGTGGCTATCGGCGTAATCATAACTGTAGCAAGGTAACTCACGTATATGATCTTTTCGAATTCTATATTTTGTCTTAGGCTTCTACAAACAATACTCAGCTAGTCGCTCTTGTTGGTGAACGGAATGTTCAAGGATTCTGAACTTTTAACCCCGTTCACTTCACCAATTCGAGTTTAGAATTTGAGTTTT